TATTTACTCCTTTCACTTTAGTATATAAAACACACTATTATTTATTTATTTATTTCTGTTTAACTCACTGAGCTCCCCCCCCCGTCACTGAGAGGGGAAAAAGATTATAATATGCCATTGAAAAATATAAATTGAATTCTATCTCGTAATAAATATTATTTTTAATACTGCTCCACTTTTTTTACTACTAATCTATAACTATTGTGAAATTCCAATTTATTTGTATTTTAAAATACTTTAATGAGCACTGTACATCTAATTAGATATTAATTCTGCATTTTAAATTTTGACACGAAAATTGAACTTGAAGAAAACTGGAAGTGGTAAGAAATTTTATGCTAGCAACAAAAGAAAAATAGTTTGTATAATGTTATAAATACTTTATGAAATACGAAAATAGTATTAATTCTGAATTCTAATTAAATAAAAGCTAAAAACGGGATAAAAACAGAAAAATTCTATTTTTAATTTTTTTTAATATAATATTTTCCATTTTTTGAATGATATATTTATAATAAAATGCATAGAACATCTGAATATACAGATTTGAATGAATGGATCTTGCAAAAGTGAACTTTCATAAATTAAAGACAGTCATCTATATTAATAGAAAACAATTTAAAGAGAAGCAATTATAGTCTGTAATAGCAATTATAGGCTGTAAGATAAATTATTCCGTAAATATCTTTTATAAAAGAAGTATAGAATGATATGAAATTAATTATCCACAAATGCTTCGTACGAAAATTATACATAAAAGAAACTGAATCATGGATATAAATTTATTACATTAAAATAAAATGTTAAAACTTTAATATGAGATCTGAAAAAATTCTAAAGCTCTTTACTGATATAATATATCACCATATGCTTTGACAAAGATTCTAGCATGGAATCAGATTTTCTTAATATTCCATAATCATCCACATTTAACACTTTCAATATTAAAAAAATTGTTTTGACAAAAACTTTTTATGAGTAGTATTTTATTTAAAAACGCTGAAAAACAACTAATGTAAATGGAAAGTGTATATAACACATTCTAAACAAAAGTATTTTATAAATAAAAACAACAAACTATATTAACTAACCAAAAAGTAAAACAGCGTCTTCTTCAGAAATACCGTCGTTAACTAAATGTTGTTTTAATTCTACTTAATTCAAAATATTAAGTGGCAAATATTTAATATTCTCCTGAAAAAAATTAAACGTAAAATAAAAGCGTAGACATAATCTATTTCGCAGAACAAAACAATTTTATTGTTTAATGGTTATTGCAATTACATAAATTTTCAGGCTTGTGTACTCAAAATAGGCTTATAAACCTTCGTCAAGTAGAAGAGGACAGATAGCACAATAGGAGAGAGAATAAACTTGTAAACAATTTTATTTAGATTCACATTTATCACATATTAATCACATTTTCGTATGCATAAAACATAATATTTACTGACGGTTTTAAAAATTAAAATGTTACGTAAATCCTTTGCTAATATTGTCGGTTTAGTACATAAAACTTTTAAATAATTATCGAATTGTTGAAAATTTCTGATGTGCCTACATAAAGTTATTTTTACACAATAAAAAATTATTTGCAATTTTCATAATATTCGATGCTTTCCTGCTTTCACTCCCTGGAAAAATTTCTACTTTGCTTTTGGATTTTGTTTCATGTGTTTTGTTGAATAAAATTTCAGATCCTAAAAGAATAAAGCTACGCAAGAATAAAATCTATCCTATAAATTCATTCTATTCTAATCTATTCTTACAAATCCATCCTATTCTGAGTAAGTTTGATTAACTTGCGCAGGTGCTCTTTTCAATTTTCAGAATCTATTTGGATTTCATTAATCCGTTTTGTTGTAAACAAATATCACGAAGGAAAAAAATATCGCAAAATAGATTGAGCTGTTCAAAACGTTGGCAGTAATTGAAAGTATAGAAGTACTGACACAACTAAAAAGTAAGTTAACATTTTTAATGTTTAAATATTTGAATCACCTGTTTCCATTCACCATCCATGTGTCTTTTTAGCATGTACTGCACCATGTATTTAAATTAAGTATGCACGAATAAGCTTCAACCAGAAAATGTTTTTACATTTAAAAGAAAACGTAAGGTAACTTGCAATACTGATTGTCAAATGATTAAACAAATTCGACCCTTTTTGGTAAATGTTAAATTTGATTTATTGTAAGCTGAATTGTGAAAAATTTAATAAAAACTCAAAGCAATAAAAATGGAGCTTTTGCATACGTTAAGTTAACTATTTTATCTCCTAGGGATACTCATTTATAAGACAATTTTCACCCATGCTTTGTGCCGTTCAAAGAATAATTGTTGAGGGGAAACCTAACCCTATGCAAAATCTCTAAACAAATGTGTGTAACGCTTAATACTAACTGAAAACCAGAATTTCAAAACTAATTTTTGCAATGACGGTGCAAACAATTTTTGCATAATCTTATAATTTTAATATTTACACATTTTATAATTTTAACACTTAATTACCCGGATTATTCATAATTCTAAATCAAAAATTTGCACTAATTTTTAAAATTTTAACCAAATATATAAAGCTTAAATACGTTTTTTGTCACTTTGTTAAAAATAAGACAGATGAAATATTCCTTTTGAATTTTTAAACTAATTCTTTAACAGTTGAAATTTTACGAAAGCAAATTAAATCCCTGCCAATTAATATCTATTCGAGATAAAGCATTAAATAAAAGCTTTAGTAGCTATTTTAGTAGCTATTAAAGATTTTAGTAGCTATTTTCGAATAATTTGTAATTAAGAGTGTAATATTTAGAATGAATTTTCTGCAAAATATTTCTTAAACTAGTTTCATAATCTGGTAAATTTTATGCTAGACTATAGTTTTACCTAATATTTCTCTTGTTTTAATAAATTGTTATTTTATTATTATTTTTTTTATTATTATTTTTTCCCTCAGTTGTTTGTTATTTTTTAATTTATTTTTTCTTCTCCTTTTTTTCATATGTCTGTAATTTTCCTTTGCTTTATCTTCATTTTGAACTTATTTTATGAGTTCTATTTACTTGCAGCTTACGCGCAATAAATGAGTTTGAATGAAAGTTTTTCTTAATTTTCTTCTTGTTTTTTTGCATTTATTTATTTTGCTGTATATATATATGTGTTGCCGGCAAAGTATGAAATCCAGCATTGTATAGAATGACTAGGCATTGTATAGAATGACTAGGCATTGTATAGAATGCCTAAAATTAGCCGGCAAAGTATGAAATGATTTATATTTCACACATTTCCTAGGCATTCTGTAGATAGCCAAATGAGAAACCGGCAAAGTATAAAATACATCTCCTATTCGTTTCAAATGTCACTTGGCAAGGCTCGTGACTTTTAATGCGTGGCTCCTAACTTTTGACTAATAACAAAAATTATTTTTTTATTGTGCAGCATGGAAATGGAGGAATTTAATGAAATTTACATGGAAAAATTTAATGAAATGTAATTCAAAATGTCATTCAAGCCTGCAATGTTGCAACAAGTAGGTTAATTTCATATTTTTTGTATGAAAATTTTGTTTCCCTTAATAAGGAAGGCTTCAATTTTGTTTTGCATGACTTTTCAATTTTCTTTCCACATTTTGAATAAATGTTTTTCATTGGCACTCTCAGTATTTTTTAAGAATAAAATTTTTTTTTTGAGAAATGCTTGTTACTGTGAATGAGCAAAATCGGTAGTTTTACATTTATTCGATATTTTAATACTTACTGATGATAGATTAAAAGAAACATCAGTGTAGGGTATACCGGGCAAATGTATACCAAGCAGTGGCACTTGACCTTAAAAAAAATCAGTGTAAGGTATACCGGGCAAGTGAATACCGGGCATTGGCACTTGACCTTACAAAAAGCATCAGTGTAAGGTAAACCGGGAAAAGGCACTGAACTAGAACTAGTATGACAGGACCCTTGGTAAATGTCCGAAATATATGCTAAGTCCAGTTAAGCGCCATTGCCCGTTATACATTCGCTCGGTATGCCTTACACTGATGTTTTTTTTAAGGTCAAGTGCCATTGCCCGGTATACATTTGCCCGGTATACCTTACACTGATGGTTTTTTAAGGTTAAGTGCTACTGCCCGGTATACATTTGCCCGGTATACCCTACACTGATGTTTTTTTAAGGTCAAGGGTCACTGCCCGGTATACATTTGCCCGATACTCCAAACACTGATGTTTCGTTTAATCTATCATCAGTAAGTATTGAAATATCGAATAAATGTAATTATATCCTCGAATAAATTAATATCAAATTGGATGTAATAAATATTTCGGACATTCACCATAGCGACTATGTGATTGTCAACATTCACCGGTAAAAGTCAACAACCACCGATTTCGCTCATTCACAGTAACATGCACATCATTTACATAATAACCTCATCAGGACGTTTATTTCATACTTTGCCAAAATAGCATCCGGCATTGTAAAGAATGCCTAGGCAAAGTATGTAATACTTCTCACATTTCACACTTTGCCTAAAAACGTCAGGCATTCTATACAATGCTGGCGTCTCATACTTTGCCGGTAACATATTATATATATATATATATATATATTAAAAGATAGGTAATTCCTATCATAATAAAAAATAAAGAGGTTTGATTTAATGCAGATCTTAAGTTAACATAAATTTATGCTTTGGAAAAGTAGGAAATTTAGGGAGCATAAACATTTATAGATTAATGCCGAAGGAAAAAAAAAAAACTTTTTTGTGTTGCGAAGAAAACTGGCGGAGACTCTGAAAATTAATTTAAACCACAACTACTTCATTCTTTAAGATTAATAGGGATCCTTTACTTTTTCTTGAAACTAGAAATAATTAGAGTCGCTTGACTAATTAGCTGAAACAAATATGTTCAAAAATTTTCTCGTGCGAACGAAAAGTGTTTAATTAATGTTACTTTTTTGTAATAATAACGCAAAAATAAAGTTATAATCAGTTATTAAAATTGTACTGGTGGCACAGAGACTCCGATTCTAATGAAATGAGAGAAAAAACTTCAAAATTTACAAATGGAACTTAGAGCTCTCCTTCTAAAAAAAGTAGTTCAAAATTTCCCCATCAGGTAGTGAAAGCAAATAAAAAAGAATTTTTCATTAATTTACACACTAGTGTGCGCAATTATGCACATTGACTGGGTGCAATATCAATAATTAGCATAAAATTTTAGCTGTACAGAGCTTTCTACTAACAAAAGTTTGAATTATTATTATGAATTTTTTTTGAGGGAATTTTTTTTTAACCCCATGATCTGTACAACAAATGTTTAAATTTTTATTTGAATCCATTTTAAGGAGCTGGAGCGTATGGAAACTTTTTAAAACCTCCAGTTAAATTCCCAAATTTTTCNTATCGGAAAGCATTAAGTACTTTATGTTCAAGAAATTTAGCCTCAAAAAAGTGCAAAAAAATGTTGGCAAAAGCCCCAGAAAAGGAATTACCTTGTGGAATTCCAATAATTTGTTTATAAAAATCTAAACCATTAAAAAGAACATTCTCAAAAAGATTAAACTTGCATAAATCTAACCAGTTAAACCTATCAATTTTTTCATCAAATAAATACTTGTCATAAATACCTTCACAAATCTCAATAATTTTTTCATGTGGTATGCTGGTATACAAATTTTCAAAATCAAAAGTGTTAATGCTGGAAATATCATTACTTTTAATAAAATCCAAAACTTCAACATTACTTTCAATAATAATATTTTTCTCTTTTTTAATTTTAAGCAAAATAATTTTTAAAAAACAAAAAAACCTTTTACTAATATCAGAATTATAACTATTAGTACCACATGCTATAAACCTAAATTTAATCGGATTTTTATGAAATTTAACTATTGGAAATAAATATGGAAATGTAATCCTATTTAATTTAAATTTTAATTTTTTACTAAATGCAATAATTCTTTTTTCAATAACTTTTTTATCTTCTTTTAACTTTAAATAGGTATTATTTGCATTATATTCCCCAATAATCAATTTTTTAAAAAAATATTTACACATAATACAGAAATTATTTGAAGCTTTATCTACAACAGTAACAATGAATTTATCCTTAAGATTTTTAATTTTTCTAGATAAATCATAATCAATAAAAGTACCTTTAGGAAATGAACTAAAACTGGTATTAAATAAATTAAATTTAACCCTTTCAATAATTTTAGCTTTCCACTCAGAAAAACCTTCAACAGGCCAATGATATTTTCTGGAAATTTTTGCAATAAAAAAATCTAGATCTTTTTTAATGGATAAAATAAAATCTTCTTTTTTCATCTTAACTCTGGTTCTAAATTTTGAACCCTTACTAAAAATGTTAATTAGATCCTGATCACCCACAATTTCCAAATTTCCGGTAATAACATGTCCATAATCATTATCAATAAATTTTGAAAAACCCTCCTCATTACAAGAGTGTGTGCGGCATTGGTCCTCGTTAAACTGTGCTACCGTAAAGTGCTCGACTTCGCGTGCTGGTCGTTGGGCTAGCGAAGCAGGGGTGCCATCCCCTCTGCTGAGGATCAAAATTGTGATGGCATGTCTTCGGATCATCCTCAGGGATGTTTCCCAGACCATCGCCAATAGCCCATTGTGCAGCTCTAGTGCGACGTAAATGAACTACAACAACATCTTTATTATCTTTATTATTACGCTATCTATTCTTCTACTTACAATAGTTTATAAGCCGCTTGCTGTTTTGAACACACAAGCCTATGTATGCAAATAAATTATCTGTTGGAAAATTTTTAAATTGTAGCTTGGGACATTAATAGAACGTGAATTTCAATACTTGTTTTTATCCGAGACTCAGTATGTTATAAACAAAATGTTCAAGTTGAAATCTGTATAGGCTGAAAGTCTTTTCCTTGTCTCTGATGAGGAAGTTTGAAGAATGGGGTACAAGCTTAGGCTCTGTCTACGTCGTTTGAACGGGTATTAACATATCAGTTAAAAATAGATCCTTAGAAAACGAGGCTCGGTGCTTGGCCAAGATTGAGTTGCGCATGCAGGGCTCTCGTGTCTGTGGTACTTCGGTACTTTTTTATTTGCGTCACACTATATCCGCAAAATGGGCTATCGGCAACTGTCTGGGAAACATCACCTAGGATGATCCGAATACAGCATACATACGTCACACCCCGTTTTACCGGGGCGACAGATTGATACACCATCCATCTGCAGATCGTAATTTTGACCTGAATCAGAGAAGATCAATCTCCAATCCAGCACCCTTAGAGGTATTGAGTTGTTATAGAAGCTTGGTGAATTTTGTGACTCCGACAGATTTAGCATGCACCTGTCACTATTTTGAACACGGGGAGTCTTCTTCCTGTGGGGATCGAACTCACAATCTCTCGATTCAACGCCCTACCAACCAAGATATTCCAGCCACGCCGTGGCTTTTGGGCATACACAATTGTTTTGGGCCGTGGAAAAATAACCCGTACATGTTGGACCCTTTCTAGTTCAATTCTGTATGTGATGGGGCTGTGGTTGCCCAATGGTTAGAAAATCGTAATTCTGTCCGGAAGTCTCGCGGTTCAATCATTATCTGCGCTAAGACTCAGCTTTTAGATGCTATATACGTGCTTGTAAAGTCAGTCAGTGGAATCAAAGATTCTGTGCTGTGTTGCTTAGCAGTACCACGAGTTCAAGGATCTGAAGAAATTTCCATTCTCTTCAGATCTATGTCTAAATCAAGTAAGTGGTCAAACAAATGAGATGCTCTCTGAAGAAGATCAAAGTTGTGACGGTATTTGTCTTTGGATCATCTTCCGGATTGTTTTTCAAATCATTGTCAATAGCCTATTGTGCAACTTTAGTGCAACATAAATAAAGTACTCACCTACCCCTTATGTGTTTTTTATGTTAGCTCTATTTTAATGAAGTGCCTATATGATATACGCTTGTAAGCGTTCGTCAAAATAATTAATTTGATAGCTAGCAAAAAAAGTTGCATTTATCTTATTTAGCGTTTTTCTGCTATTCCTCAGCAAGTGTTGAGTTTTTGCAGAGGCTTTCGGGCACGAACCTGCTGTATTTTCGGTTTCGAACTTATCATATTGAGCAGACCAACATCTTCAAGAAACTAAAATATCTGGCTGTAAAATTTCTATACAAATATTTGTAAACTAAGAGCGTTATCTTTTCAAAACAATATTTTTAAAAGATAGATCATTAGCAGTAATTTTAGAAAGAAGTATATTTTAAAAAAAAAGAAAGAGGTGAGTTTTCGAATGCTCTTTTTTTTAAAAACAAATTTCAACCAAGTTTTTGTTTTTGTTTTGTGAGGACGCTAGTCACCTTATTCATACCTTACATATCTTATTTTTTTTTCTCATTCTCATGTCAATTTTTGTTAGAAGTTGTTCAGTTTGTTATTCTTTTTTTATATAGTTTAATCTTTAGCACAAGATGTACGATTACAACATTACAAGAGAAAACTCATATCCAACTCCACTTGCAAATACAACTCTTTTACCTCTTATGTTCATGTCTTTGGCAACTCAAAAGAATGCACCGACAGTCCTTCAAACACCATCATCTCTGCATTCTGCTTACGACTTCATCATTGGTAAGAAAATTTTAAAATTATTTTTGCAGTGAACAATCACAATTGTTTACTAAAAAGTGATTTGATAACTTTCACTAGCCTTAAGAGTCCCTCTCACTCGATGCGCTAAATTCACGGATGCTAGTGCGAATCTGACTGGAGAGTTTTCATGTTTCCTAAATTTTTCGCTCATGGTGAGATCAGCCCCTTACACTATTGGAGTACAGGAAATAGACTGTGAATTCTCTTACCTATGTTTTAAAATTAATCTGGAATTCTTGACCTAGTGAGCAACGCAGCTCTAAATTCTGTGGTAGCGGTTAAGGTAGAAAGTCTTTAAATAGCACGTCACACAGGGGACTGATCGTAAGAGCACGCTTCTTTGTAGAACACCGAAGTCAAGCATCAGTGGCTGCGGACAGGTTTGGCTATGAAAGGCAAGCCATGACTACATTGTCAAAGATAATTTAACAATCTGATATCATTTTCGATTTCTTATGAACATGCGTATTGATTTAAAAAGGTTTCCGTAACGTGGTCAAATAAATGGTGTACAAAATAAAAGTTTAAATTAAAACTGTTGATTGCTGTTTTCCTCTTTTAGTAGGTGCAGGATCGGCGGGATCTACAGTGGCAGCTCGTTTATCCGAACTACCGTGCTGTAATGTGCTTTTACTAGAAGCAGGAAATGTAGGACCATTGTTAAATGATATACCTGGATATGCAAGAAATTACTATTTCGATGACATTAATTGGATGTACAAAACTACACCACAAGAAAACACAGCTCGGTTGCACGTAGATAGAGTAAGTAAGGGTTTTGTTTCTGTAACTTAAAAGTTTAGTGGAAGAACATTCAAGGTGTCTCAAAATTATTGCCACAAGTTTTAGTGTAGATATGGTAGATCATAAAGATTGAAAACTGTATAAAAAGCCATGAAAAGTGAAAAAGGAACAACAATGAAATCAGTAACAGAGGCATAAATCTTATAGAAGTCAGGAGAATGATCAATTGTAATCCTTATTTGGACATCATGAGTACAAATGATGTAAAAGATTAATACAGTTCAGAATTTTACAACAGATGCATGCTCAATTATATGAAATACATGCTGAATACCAAAGGAGCGTCCCGCAGTGGACCCGTCGTAAAGACTCTGTTCAAGCATCACAGGCTGCGGTCAGTAAGCAGGTGGGTGGCCACTTTGATCAGTCTGCTTAGGGACCGAAGCTGCGAGGCATCGGTCCTATTTAAACTTTTCTACCGTAAAGTGCTCAACTTAGCGCACAGGTCGCAATGGTCGCGTGCAGGACTCTCTGCAGAGGATCGAAATTGCGATGGCATGTCTTCGGATCATCCTCAAAGATGTTTCCCAGACAGTCGCCAATAGCCCGTTGAGCAGCTCTAGTGCGACGCAAATGAACTACTGAACAGAACAGATCCTAAAACTGAAAAAAATTGGAGTAAAATTTGGAAACTGATAGTTGGAAACTTGCTGTTTTCCCTTTCCAATTTAATATTCCTATAGTTCCCACGTAGAGATTCTCTAACAGAAATATTTCTTTTAAATAATTGGAAAAGGGTAAAAGAGCGTTTTTTAAATATCCACTTAGAAATTTTACTTCCAGTTTTTCAGTTTTTGAGAGGAGGCTGGAAGGAAGTGGTGTAGAAGTAGCGTGTAAAAGGTATGTTTCTCAGTGGTTGAAAAGCTTTTACGGGTAAATCCTTTAAAGATACGACGTTTACTTTATATACATATATGCTAACTTATGAGATTTAAACCAAAAAAGAACAAACATCATAAGTTATAGAAGGACATCACGAAAATACACCCACGCTTACGGAGGGAAGGATTTGAACCCGATACTTGCACGCTTCAAAGCGTTAGGAGAAAGGACTATAACCCTCGGTGAAAGTGCTGACAGATTCCAGCGGCTCTACAAACAATATTAAAAGTATATTGGGAATATTTTCTGCTCATTTGAATGACAGTATATTAATTTTGTTTATTTTTGTCTCTATTTTAAGAAACCATTCTCTGAGTTTTACGAACTTAACCTCGTAATAATTCATTATTGTCTTACACACAAAAAAGAAATTTTTTTTTGTATCCTTTAAAGAGTGTAAATTGGCCCAGTGGAAAAGGTCTTGGTGGCTCAAGTCTTTTAAACGCCATGCTGTATATTAGAGGAAATAAGAAGAACTACGATGATTGGGCGGAGGACGGAGCAAAAGGATGGAGTTACGAGGAAGTACTTCCGTATTTTCTGAAGCTTGAAGATGAGCGGGATTCTCGATATTACGAACCTGGTATCACTCAATTTATTTAATTGCTTTGCAAGAAATAAATGAAAAAATTAAATAAACAAAAACAAAATTAAATATATAAAAGCAGAAAAATAACATTAATAATTTTAATTTTGCTATGAATTGTGTGAACTTCATTCTTTAAGATTCTTAAACGATTTTGACTTATTTAGAAATAGTTTCTCATCTTTAGAATAGCCTGACTGCTTTCACTCCGACGAGATAATATGTTTAACATGACATTGTGAGAATTGCTTTCCTAATTCGGAACAACTTCGTCTGTTATAGGCACTGCAGTATTGCTTATTAAAACTGTAAAAAAATAAGTATTATGTAAAAGATGTAAAAATAATTCATTATTTATAATCTGTGAAAATAAATCATAATTTAACACATGTAAAAATAATTATTTAAAAAAAATGAATATTGAAAAATTGTAAAAAAATAAATATATTTTTAGCTGAATTAAAAGGTGCTAAAAAATTCATACAAAATTACTTAGATCGTATGAATTTCATTTATAAATCGAATGAAAGAGCCGTGATAGCTCAGTCGTATAGTTTGCTGAGCTTTCATAGTGGATGGCTGAGATTAATCTCCTGTGGCGGCTTGAAGTATGCCGTTTACTGAGTTATGGAATCTTAACCCTCGATGCTCCTTCGGTCACAATGAGATGTTGCAAAAATATTTTACTTTAAATCGAATGAAATCAATACAAAGTTAGCCGTATTAATACTTTATAAGTTATTGGGACTGAATGTTTAAAAATTTGATTATTTATAAAATCAAACATCGCTTTACGAGTTAATATAGTTACGAGATATCCACGCATAAATGGGTAGTATAATATACATACACAGGGTGATTCTAAAAAGATGGGTAAAATTTTAGGAAGTGATAGTACACCCCCAAGCAAACAATTTTTATCAAAAAATGCATGGTCGAAAACAAAACGCAAAACCGCTAGAGGGCGTCAAATTTTATGTTCTTAAGGCAAAAACACACAAAGAACGATGGTTGGTTGGTTGGTTGGTTGGTTGGTGTCGTATCCTCTGTAGAATCATATTTCATGGTGTGCTTGAATAGTTTTTGTTATTTCTATGGCATTAAAAGAATACAAATCCTCTTCTGTGGGGTAGTTTAAGAGGTGAAGGCCTGCAGCGACTGCAGGGCAGTTAAAAACATGATATGGTGTCAGTTCCACATTAAGACAGTTGCCACAGTTTTGATATTTTCTAGTCTTATCTGTAGAAATTTTCATGTTTTTATGATGTTTTGTTCTTAGTCTGATGAGAGTAGTGGCTGTCTTCCTATCGATGTCAAGATTAGTTATTTGATCGTGGGCTTTGATTTTTAAAGGGGTGAATAGTCTTGACTTTGCAAAAGCATTTGCATCTGCCAACGTGGTTGGGATTGTATTTTGATTGAGATCTCTGGCATTTTTAGCCAA